TTTTACTCTAATAAATTTTTTATACTAAATATTATAATTACTGGAAGTAGTTCTATGTTACGTCATATGTCGTCATATACTACTACAGTAGTAACACTACTGGCTCAGCATTGACACTATTGTGTATCAGTAATACTACTGTAGTAGCAGTAGTAGTACATTAATAGATAGAATTTTATTACACTTTAGCGTAAGAAGGGGATTTGGTTTACATAAAATTCTAACTCATTCATACATCCATACCTCGTCCGCAAGCTGTCGCACCTATATTATTATAAAGTTTTAGAAAAATTTTTGCTTATCCCTTTATTTCCCTACTTTTCTGATTAGATCCTCTGACTTCGCTTTTTTATCTACATTATTTCATTTTATTCCTTTTCGCTTTATCCGCTTTTCTCTTTTAGTTATATCTATTTCTAATGTATACTCTCGTTCAATACCATACGTTCTCATCTCATATCACAGACTTATCTTACTAGCTATAATTATTATCACATATTTATTTCTTACTTATTCCTTAGTTCACCTTATTTTTCTTTTCTCTCCATACCTTCCCTCTACCTACACATTTCTTCCTTGTCTTCTTTTGGTTCAAATTTCATTCTTTTTACTACCTCCCTCTCTTTCCATAATTTATTTTATTATTATTATTTTCCCTTTCATCTCATCTAACTCTTTCACACAGCTCTTTCTCTTATCACACAGTTTCCTTAAAATCTTTTCCTTATCTTTTCCTAATTTACCTAGTTAAATCTTTCTCTTATTTCCGAATATTCCTCTACGTAGTGCTTTAAATTATCTTTTCCCACAGAATATATATATATATTACAGAATATAGGGTGCGTTAGGTATTTGAGGACATATTGACTATAAAACTAAAATTTGTATATTTCTTAGAAAACTTATTGTATTTTATTGAATTTTTTACAGCAAAGTAAGTAACTCGTAGGCTATACAGTTATTCGATAAAATCGCCTTCAGCAGCAATAACAGCTTTAATTCTCTGCTGAAAACGTTTGCATGCTCGAATCAAAGGATCCTTATGCATCATTACTCTGGTAATAGTTGCTCTGAGGGAATCAATTGTGTTATGGGGATGTTTATTGTCTCCCGTTCTACAACGCCCCATACATAGTAATCTAAAGGATTAAGATCAGGGGAGCTAGGTGGCCACATGTTTGGGGTTATGTGATCATGCAGGACACCCAATCTTGCGTCGTCGTGGCTTTATATGAAGGAGTCCTATTGGAATACGTATGTTCTTTCATCACGCACGCTATCTATCTAGGGTTTCACAACTGCTTCCAAAACCGCAATGTAAGCAGCAGCATTCACCCGAAGTCCTTGGAAAAGAAGTGGGGTGGCATGATGTGTCCTTCATTGCTCACCACTCCCAAAACCATGACAGTTGCCGGAAACTTTGTGTGCATAACATGAGAAACTTCTGAAGGATAGCCACCTATCATTTCGTCGATTTACTTTTTGATCCTGATCAAAATTTTTTTTGTCAGAATAAAACCAGAGCATATCCGAGATTTCAGAATGTTTTAACTTGCATAGAAGTCGTTGTGCCCGGATGAATCGCTGTTTTCGAGTGCGTGCAGACATAAACTGACCTTTGCGCATCACGTGTGACTTGTACCGGATGTCTTCGTGGACAATGCGACGGATTGTGCACTCAGAAATCTGAAGATCTCTCGATATGGCCCTTATGGACTTTGAAGGGTCTTCATCAATAATGCCCTGGACTTGCTGCACAAACTGTGATGTTCTAACTGTGTCTGAACGTGCTTTATGTTTTTTGCGCTTGTCATCAGATACTTCTAACTCTCGACGAACTTTGTGAACAAACGATCGGGCAAGATTCAAAAATATGGAGATTTCAAAATCGCTGTGATTCGCGTGTATAGCGACGATAACAGCGTGCCTTTTCATTTCATGAGTTAGCTTATTGTCCTCCATTTATGATTGAAAGGAAAAAAGAAAGAAAAATATATTGCTGTAAAGTGATAAGCACATATGTGAGTGTAATACCTCAAATATCTGACGCACCCTGTATTTTTTCCTATACTCTTTTACCCAGTATTTATTATCTTCCTTTAAATTCCCATATCTTAATTTGAACAAGATTCTTATCTCTTCTCCTCTTTTTCCTTCCCCTAAATTATCTTTTTTCAAATACTCTGGGATCTTGCCATTTGTCTTCCATCTTTCCATCTTTATTTCCTTATATCTCTCGTTATGTCTTGCCTTTTGGATTTTATCGTCCTCCCACTGTCTTTGCCACCTCTCTTTCTGTATTTATTAATTGATCCTCAAAACCTTCCTCCCCATATATCACTTCCTTTGCTTCTATATCCTATCCGTTCCTATTGTAATACCTCCTCCTTTCCTATACATCCCCTTAATCATTCTTCTTCTTTTCTTTCCAACTTTTATTTGTCAAATTTCCTACCCTTCCTGATTTTATTTTATATGCTTAAATGTCCTTGCTCTTATTTCCCATTCTACCCTGAGCTTATCCATAAGAAGCTTCTTCATAATTAAATACCTTAGTGTGCAGTCCAAACTAAACATCCATCTTATATAATCTATCATAACCTTTTCCAATTCCTCTTTCTCCTCCCAATCCCATATTTCTACTTCATATTTCTACATAAGCCATAACACTTTGTACCAAATATTTAAATAAGATCCATCTTCTCCTGAAATCATTCCTGCACATCCTTTCACCTAAACCCCATACTTTTCTTGTCGCCATCTTCTACTTAATTCCGTGTGATCTTTACAGTTGCATCATTTCAATCATCTCATCTATTCATCTATTCAAAGTAAAGCTTATACTTAAATTCCTGCATCTCTTTTATCTCCTTTTTACCCCATTTCGATATTTCCATTTTCTCTCTTTCTCTCTTATTACATACCAATACCTTAGTTTTTTTTTGTACATAGCTCTAATTTCTTTTCCTCTCCTAAAACTTCCTATGATATCCTGCAGGGCTTTCCTATTTTTTGCCAATAGAATTATATCATCCGCATACGCAAGATTCCAAATCTTTTGTTTATCTATACCTCTGCCTCTAAATTTTTCGTCTAAGTCTGCGATGTACAAATTGAAAAAGACTCATCACACATCCCTGCTTTACGCCTCTTTTCGTTACAAAACTTTCAGTATCTCCTAGCTTCGTTCTAACCGTTACCTCTATTCCTTCGTAGGTCTTCTCAATTCTTCTAACTAAGCTCTCTCTTATTCCTTTCTCCCTCAAGCAGTCCCATAATTTGTCTACCTTGTCAAAGGCAATTTTCAGATCCGCAAACATCATGAAAACTTTCCCATCTTTTCTTTTCTTGCCTTCCCTTTGTATGATGTGCATTATCATGAACATATTATCGATCATTGACTTTCCTCTTCTGAAACCTGTTTAAGTTTCTAGGATCATTCTTTTCTCCTCTGCCTCTTTCTCTAGTCTATTTTTCAGCATCTCTGCATACAATTGGTACGCTGTGCATAACAATGATATCTCTTTATAATTTGTTGCCTTTTCTTGGTCACCCCTATAGGAATATACTATATCTATATACGTGAGGCGTTTGATAAGTTTGGTAAATTTCCATGAAATGGCGCTCCATTTGATGACGTGACATTTCGAAAGATCCACTCTTCGAACCCCTTCAGATGAAATTTCAGCCAGAAAGGACGCATAGTTCACATTTGGTAGTCATTTGAAGTAGGCTGTCTCAAAATCTGCAAAATATTAGGTGTACAACTTTGCTTCCGCCGTTTTCCTATAGATGGCTTTAGCGGTAAATGGTGGTCGAAATAAATAGATCATAGACATCATACAATAAACTTGGGCATCTGTCAACATAACCCCATAGAAACATTAGTCGATTTGTGTCTGCATCATAAAGTTATTCTACGTGCTATTCCATCAAGACAACGCACCGTTCCACAAGTCGACCGTTGCAATGACAAAACTACGAATT